TTTTTTTTTTTTTTTTTTGAACTTTTCTAAGACCAGCGGCAAAACAGACTTTATTTCTGCTTAGCTACCTATTGCTGAAACGTGTAAGCCAGGCCTAAAGAGAACATACAAAGAAAATAGAAAATATTAGAAAACATTTTCTGGCACCTTTTCGGATTTCCTAAGATCATGTCATTTTGGCATTTTCTTCCCATAAACACGACCAATTAAATCACAGCACAAAAGAGAAAAACATTGTGTCAAGGCAGGGCAATAACAAAACAAAATATCAGCTTCTTTAAGAAATGGAAATATACACACGCAGGTAAATAACCCATAATAAGCAAAAGCCTCAATAGAATCACAACTTGCTCTTTTAATTCTAACCTCTCTTGTTCCTTTTTTTTTAAATGTTTATTTTTGAGAGAGAGATAGAGAGAGCACGAGTAGGGGAGGGCAGAGAGAGGGAGACAGAGGATCTGAAGTGGGCTCCACACTGACAGCAGAGAGCCTGAGGTGGGGCTTGAACTTACAAATGCGGGATCACGACCTGAGACGAAGTCAGTTGCTCAACCAACTGAGCCACTTAGGGGCCCACTTCTCTTGTTCTTAAATGACATAAACGCATGAGGGGAATGGCTAGAACTCTCAATTTTCCTCCGTAAGTATGTGTTAAAGAATTAGTCCTAAAACCTAAAAGCAGACACTACAGAAGTGCCATTCTCTTATTCCATGACCTACTGGAATTCCATACTCCAGATATACTTCTCAAAGTTTTTTACTTATTTGAGAGAGAGAGAGAAAGAGAGAGAGAGAGAGAGAGAGTGTATGCACATGTGTATGCAAGCAGGGAGGGGCAGAGAGGGAGAGAGAATCCCAAGCAGGATCCACGCTGTCAGTGCAGAGCCTGAGTTCAGAGCCAAATGCAGGGCTCGAATTCATGAACCATGAGATCATGACATAAGCTGAAATCAAGAGTCAGATGTTTAACCACCTGAGCCACCCAGGTGCCTCCAGATATACTTCTGAGCAGCACAGAAGGGACCAGTGTGAGAAAATGCACAAAGGGATCAACACAGGCAGAGCCACGGCTGGGAAAACCAGACGCTCCCAAATCTGGAGGGTTTAAAAGATGCAAACTGACCATGAGCTGTTGTGCCTTGGTGGTTTTTCAGGCATTACTACATCTTAAGCCTGGGAAGAACTATCACGATTAATGGCTAAAAATGTTGAGTTTACTCTGTGCTACCCCATCGTTCTCCATCTATCTTAATCCTTACAACACGTAGGAGATACACACTGACAATCCCGGTTTTGTAAGTGAAAAAGCCAAGTAGCACAGCCAAGGTCGAAAAGGCTAGTTAGCGACAGAGCCAGAACTTGAACCAGGTGACCTTAACTATGTCACTATACTACCTTTCCATAAAGAAAAGTGCCCATAAAGTATTACTGAAAGTGGGACAGAAATGGGGGTGGAAGGAATCCCGGTAAGCTTCTTCGAAAAGAGTAAGGCAATTTATGTACGTTTTAAGGAAGCAGTCAGAAACTACACATGAGGTTCCACTACTACGAGAATGTGCTGATTTTTAAAAATTTTAATGTTTATTCATTTTTTTGTGTGAATGTATTGTCAAATTGGTTTCCATACAACACCCAGTGCTCATCCCAACAGGTGCCCTCCGCAGTGAATCTGCTGATTTTTCAGTCTTTGTTACCCTTACCTATGTTCCCTTAGTGACTTCACAGAATCCTTGGAATGAGAAGAGTGTGTGCTTGTCCACAGGAAAAATAAAGACAGGGTAGAGGGGTGAAGACAGCTGTCTCCTGGGGGAGAGCAACTCCACGGGAGAGGGTGTGTGGTGGTTAGTCACAGGTCTGAATACCTGAATACCCCATCCTGTGAGGTGATTACGAGCTGGTGCTAAACCTGCTCTGCCTTCAAGGAGCCAACACTTGGGCAGGGGCTGCCCCACTAGACAGCTGGCGGGCACTCTGTCTGCAGCTCTGGGTACAGTGTTAGAAATAAGTGCTTGATGAGTACTTTTTGAATGGAGATCAAAGTTTTTGTTTTGACTCGCATGAAGGAATTTTCAGTCTCTTTTCTACACGGTTGAGTTACCAGACTTCCCACAACTCCGATTCTTGCCAATCCCTATTCCGGATGCTGAGAAGACAGAGTAGGAAGAAGTTTATGATCTAGATCAGGAGTTGGTAAACTTTTTCATGAAGGGCCAGATGCTAAATATTTTAGGGTTTATGAGCCAAGTGGCCAAATCAAGATATGTGAAATGTAACCACTTTAAAAATGTAGAAAACCATTCTTAGCTTGGGGTTGGGATGGAGGTTAAAAAAAAAAAGGCTGGCCAGATTTGGCCAACAGCATGTTTTTATAAAGTTCTATTGAAACACAGCCACACTCATCATTTACATAGTGTCTAAGGCTGCTTTCACTACAATGGCAGAACTGAACAGCTGCAACAGAAACCATATAGCTCACGAAGCTACAAATATTTACTATCTGGATCTTTACAGAAAAAGTTTGCCGACCCCTAGTCTAGATCTCCATCTGCTCAGGCAAGAGGAAGATCAAAACTAAGGGAAAGCTAATATACCATTTTCTCTTGATCTCTTCAAGTTGACAGCATTATGACCTAAGTCATCTCCTAAGCTTCAAAAGAAGGAGACTTAAACAAGACCTCATTTTCCTAGCCTACAGCATCCCAGAAAACACTTGTCACTTAAAGACAAATGAACAGCACTGAATAAATGGAAAAGGGATTTTGAAAGAAACTTCATCACGGAGAACATTGTAGACTTCACAAGAAGTCTCTTTCTACTTACTTCCCAACAAGAGGACCAGCTGAACTCCAGTGCCTGTCTTGACGAGTCTCACATTCTAAAGAAGGTTAATCTGTCAAAAGTCACTTTCTTTGACATACATCTCGATCTTTCCATACCTTACTACCTAAGGAAGACTGTGTGGCAATGGCAATCAGTAAAGGTTGGAGAACGGTAACCTGTAGCATCACGTAATCTCAAACTCAGGAGAGAGGACCCAGTCTTGGGACAGGGAGCAGAAATGACACAGGTCCCTGGCAATAAGAAATGTTTTGAGGGGCACCTGGGTGGCTCAGTCGGTTGAGCATCTGACCCTTGATTTCGGCTCAGGTCATGATCCCAGGGTCGTGGGATCGAGCCCTATGTTGGGTTCTGTGCTGAACACGGAACCTACTTAAGATAATCTCTCTCTCCCTTCCTCTGCCCCTCTCCTTCACTCATGCTAATAAAAAATTGAAAAATTGAAAGACAGAAAAAAGTTTTGAGAGGGCTGGAAAGAAAACAAAGGTCACATTTCAGAACAGTAGCTCCCTGAGGAAGCAAGGTAAAAAAAACCCAAAGATCTATTACTGAGATGGGGATTCCACAGCTGGGTTCCCTGAAAAAATCCCATTTTCCAAGGAGCAAAGAAAGGTAAACAAGATATTTGTGATGGGAACAGTGGACAATAGTCTCAAGAGGGATGCACTTTGCCACCTCTCCGATTCAGCCAGAATAACTGATGACATACCTACAGAGCTGATGACAGACATTGCTTAACCGTGGTTCCTGAGGGCCTGGACAGGACCGAGCCTCTCTAAAACAGAGGTCACAACTCAGCCTGCTCATCCACACTCCCGTTATTCTCAACTTGGCAATCCTCCACTACTCCAGCCAGGAATAAAATTTCCCCATGGCCTGACCTTCCTGAACCAGCTTTCTCCCATAATTCTTATTTTGGAGACAATTCCTACCACTCAGCTCTCTCTCCATCACTTTTAACTCCCCCTTTTCTGAATTCCTATCTGTTACGACTTGTATTAGTAATTCCGCTCTCCTCTTCAAACATTTACATAGTATCTCAGTCTGCAAGGTTAGTCCTATCACCGAAGACACACGGTCCCGGCACTCAAAGGGTAAACAATGTAAAGAAACACAAGAGACAACATAAAAAGTAACACCATTGGGGCACCTGGGTGGCTCAGTCGGTTAAGCGTCCGACTTTAGCTCAGGTCATGATCTCACGGTCCGTGAGTTCGAGCCCCGCGTCGGGCTCTGTGCTGACAGCTCAGAGCCTGGAGCCTGCTTCAGATTCTGTGTCTCCCTCTCTCTCTGCCCCTCCCCTGTTCATACTCTGTCTCTCTCTGTCTCAAAAATAAATAAACATTAAAAAAATTAAAAAAAAAAAAAAAAAGTAACACCATTAAGACAGCATAGGGGTATAGTGAATGGTACTACTTTAAAGGTCAGGTTTGATGGGGGAAAGGTTTTGCTATCCTGAGCTAGGCCCTAAGAAAAATGTCAAATGTAGCTACTCGCACAAAAATCGTGGTATTAGAACTTTAGTGTAAAGGGACAAAAATTACTAGTGAAGGGACAGTAACAGTCCGGATGGAGCGGGTCTGTTCAGGGAATCTTCAGAGGGACAGAAAAGGAGGCTGGGAACAGACTGTCAAGGGCCTGGAAAATTCTGTATCACACACTGCCACGTTTCCTTAGCTGGACCGTAAGTCAGCAGATGGTTCATCGTGCGTCGGCATGGAGCGCGGTGCCCAGCACTTGAGAGGTGCTCAATAAATATTTCCCCAAACATAAACAACAGGAAAGCATCTCTTTGCTAGGAAAACTCCATGAAACAGTTCCTACGTTTCTCTCTTGGGACAGTCGCTACCCCTGGAAGGACAGAGGTACAACGTGGCAAAGAACCTGGCGCACTGACCACCGTGTGCACAAATGCAGGAAACTGAGAAAAGGGCAAGGAAATGACCTCCTGCTCCCAGTGCAGCGCCCGGAGCAGCAAGGCAGCACAACACCCATAGATGTGTTTGCCACTAGCTACGTGAGAACCTTGTGTCCAGCCTCCCTGATCAATAACAAGGCACGAGCTGCCACTCTGATTGGTTCGGTTCACTGTGACAAGTTCTGCGGCACCAGACTTATCCTCCAGGGCCGCCAGCGTCAGGACTCTGGCTCGGGCTTGGGGAATCCGTCCATCCATCCATCCATCCATCCATCCATCCATCCCAGGAGCCCACCTCTCCCTCCATTCACCTGTGGTCTCCCGGCCATTGGCCTCATGTTTCTCCTCTGCCACCTGTGGTTCTGTGACAGCGTCTCCGTTCTCTTCGTGGCCCTTCCTGGGCCGCTGTCGCGCTTTGGCAGCTTCCTTCTTTTTGGCCGCCTTCTTCTTGGCCAGGTCAGAGGGCATGGTGATGAACCACAGGGGGTACGAAACTGTTCTTAGGGAGCCTGCAGGGAGGCAAACAGCCCCAAAAGTCTCCACTGGCGACGGAATGCCTGGGCCCTGCCCCATCCCGCTCGGGAATTTTCCCAGCTCCGCCCATGCCTCGCCGCTCCCCATTTTGCCAGGGTCTCCCAAGCCAATTCTGGTCCCCGGCCGCTCTTCTAATCTTAACATCTCTTCCCTCAGGCTCCGTCCACCAATCCCCACGGGCTGCCTCGCTCTGGAAACGCTCCTCCTTTCACGGCCTCCAGTCAAGGACCAGGTTCTGCCCCCGCGGCAGAGATCCCCGTCTCCGGTTTCCCCACAACTTGGCGCTGCGCGCTCCAGCCGGCCGCCTCGCTTTGCCGGGCTTCCTCCTCCCGTCCGCCTCAGGCCTCCTCTCCGTCGTCCCCCCCTCCACACCACCTAGCCGTCGGGCCCAGCTTCTTCCCGGGACGCGCTCGGCTTCCCCTCGTGAGTCCCCTCCGGGTCTCCTCACTCACCATCCCCTGAACCTCCCCCGGCCCCCGGCCGTCAGCGTCTCTCCCTCGGCCCTTTCTTCTCCCTCGCAGCCTCCTCCATCTCGACCCCGTCCCTCCTCCTTCTCTTCTTCCCTCCCCCGCCTCACCGGCCAGCACCCTCCCCCCGGCGCCCCTTCCCCCAACTCACTGGGCCTCGCCGCTCGGCCTCTGTCGCAACAGAGCTGCTCCTTGGGCTCCTCCGCGTGCGGCCGGCTCACCAGCCAATCACGGCATCGCGCGGCTGTCGGCGCGCCGCCGCGCAGGATCCTGGGAAGTGTTGTTCTCCAGTCGCGGCGGCCGGGGGGGAGACCCCTCCTCGAGAACTACCGCCTGTGGCAGGGGCCTCCCCGGCCCGCGTGATGTCATCAGGCGGCGCGAGGCCGGCGGGGGGAGGGGGAGCGGGATTAGTGTCCGGGAACCCGCAGCCAGCCTGCCCGCTTCGGGCCCTGGAAACTGCAACTCCCAGACTGCTCCTCCGGTAAGGGGCTGGGCCTTCCAGGCTTTACCCCACCTCTCGAAAAATCTGTCGAGTTCTGTGGAGGCACGGAGTTCTTAAGGGCCGCGCAGCCGGCCCAAACAGCAGGGCGACGGACTACACTTCCCAGCAGGCATCAGGCGGGAGTGGGTCGAAACAATGGGAGAGAAGAGGAGGGAGGTGGAGGGAGAAGGAGGAAGAGTGAAGCGGCTGGGAAGAGGCGGCCCGAAGAGGAGGCGCATCACTACGAAGATGATGCGAAGAACAGAAATACCTAAAAGAAAGGCGTCCTCGTTTTATGGAACTGAGATCGTAGAGGCTGGTCTAGTGTTAGCCAAACTTTTAGAAGGTGCCGGACGTTCTTCCTGAACGTTGGCCGCTTAGCCTACACTCTCTAGAAATGTTAGATTCCCATCAAAGCCGTGTAAGTCTGGTGGTAAGAGCTCTGAAGTTAAAAAAAAAAAAAAAAAAAAAAAAAAAAAAAAAAAAAAAAGACCCATTTCCTGAGTTCAGCGGTATCATTGGTTAGACATGTAACCTTGCCCGTTAGTTTTCTTTTGAGTCTTACTGTTTAAAATCCCTCAGACTTCTCACCTACATTGTAACCCCCAAATTTGTAGCCTCAAATACAAGGAAGGCCCTTTGTGACTGACCCTGTTACTTCTCCAGGCTTCTGATCAGCGGTGCTTCACCATCAAGGACACAGCTGGAGGGAGGCAAAATGAAGCTTTTACTCCTTTCGAGCACATTCTCCAAATTGCCCTACCCGAGTTAAAAAACAAAAACAAAAACTCACTCCTCTCTCCAGAGAACTAGTTTTCCTCTTCAAACTTGATGCTTCAGTAGAATCTACTTGTATTTCAAGTAAGCCTTGCCATTTCATACCTTCATGCCTTTGAGCATAGCTTTTTCTGCAAGACCCTCCACCAATTAAGCGCCCACTGTGTGTTAGGCTCAGAGCTAGATGCTGGAGTTGCAATGGAAACAAGTTATTCCCTGACCTCAGGGAGCTCACGATTAAGAAGGAACATTGAAAGAGTAAATGGGTGCCTCGGTGGCTCAGTTGGTTAAGCGCTGGACTCTTGATTTTGGCTGAGGTCATGATCTCGTAGTTTGTGAGATTGAGCCACATGTCTGGCTCTGTGCTGTCAGCACATAGCCTGCTTAGGATTCTTTCCCTCTGCCCCTCCCTGGTGCACGAGCTCTATCGCTCTCTCTCTCTCAAAATAAATATACATTTAAAAAATATTTAAAGAGTAAACAGACCATGACATTCAGGTGATAAGTGCCATAAAAGAAGTGACTTATGCATGCTGTTCGAGTATGTAGGTGGGTCTCACTTGACATAGCATAACTAAGACCATGAATTCTGGGGGCAGACTGCCTTCATTCAGACCTCTCCTCTATCATTTACAGTGTGTGACCTTGGGCAAAATACACCCTCCTCTGTAAAATAGGAATGATGATAGTACTTACCTCATACAGTTGTTAGAGTTTAATTTTTGTTAATTGGCTAAGTATTACTTAGCTGGAGTTCTGCTAGCTGAACTCTGCTACTAGTAGAATCCTTACTTAAGTATGCACTAGATATTTATTTAATATATTTAACAAATATTAAACACCTACTATGGGCGAGAACATTGTTTTAGGTAAAGAATATAGACAATAGTTAACTGATTGCAAAGCCTTTCTTTATGGAACAAAGAACTTATATATGGTTGTGGATCATATAAAATCACTCATCCAAGCACCTAGCCTCCTGGGAGCACTGTTGACCATATGCCTCCCTCTCCCAGCCTCATTAAAACACGTGGTTACAAGCAGGTTACAGGTTACAGAGAACTAACATTTATTATGCTCTTACATCTATGCTATCCCATTTAATCCCCCCAATAAATTCTGAGGTGGGTATTATTACCATTTTGCAGATTAGAAAGGAAAGCACAGAGCTGTTAATAAAACAACACTGCTGGTAGGAGACAGTACCAGGATTTAAGGCTGTAATCTTCTGGTCCCAGAAATTCAGCTTTGTAAAATGGCTTGGGCTGGCCAGAGAAAGACAAACTAGCTACTTCTCTGAAGCCACCTGCATAGCAACCAATCACATCCATGATTTCCCATTATCAACAGTTGCTGGGCAGAGTCTCCCCCGGCACAGCAAGAGTGGCTTAGAAAAATTATTGGCCACTTAGGAGGAGTTCTGCCATTCCCATGGAAGGGCTGGATCTCTTTCAGGGAACAGACCTGGGGATGGGTGGGGGGAAATTGGGAAAATGGGAGGGAGAGTCAGAGAGAGATGTGGGTAGAGAGGAGAAAAGAACTGCCAAGTATGAAATATCACAGAAGGTCAGTGCTGGAAGCAAAAACATTTGGTCAGACTCTCTCTAAAATATGAAGAAACAGGGGTACGTGCTGGCTCTGTTTATGGAATGTGCAACTCTTGATCTTGAGGTCATGAGTTCGAACTGCATACTGGGTGTAGAGCCTGCTTAAAAAAATTAAAAAATAAACTATGAAGAAACTGAGACCCAACGAAGGAAATATCTCATCCAGAACTACCTAGAAACTTAGTAACTGAGAAGGGTCTGGAACTATGTTGTTCAATGTGTTAGACAGTAGCCACATGTAGCTATGGAGCACTTGAAATGTGACTAGTCCGAATTGAGATGTTCTATAAGTGTAAAATGATCATTAATTTCAAAGAGCGTGCGTGGATACAAAGGAGGCAAGGATATGCAGTGGGGAAAAGACTGTCTCCAACAAATGGTGTTGGGAAAAGTGGAAAGCTACATAAGAAAAGGAGGAGGAGGAGGAGGGGGAGGCGAAGGACCACTTTCTTAAACTATACACAAAAATAAACTCAAAATGGGTTAAAGACCTAAATGTAAGACCTGAAACCATAAAATTCATAGAAGAAAACATAGGCAGTAATCTCTTTGACATTAGCCATAGAAACATTTCTCTAGATAGGTCTCTTTCAGCAAGAGAAATAAAAAGCAAAACTAAACGATTGAGACTATATCAAAATAAAAAGATTCTGCACAGCAAAGGAAACCATGAACAAAACAAAAGACAACCCACCGAATGAGAGAAGATATTTGTAAATGATATATCCAATAAGGGGTTAGTATCCAAAATATATAAAGAACTTACAAAACTCAACACCAAAAAAACCCCAAATCCAATTTTAAAAATGGGCAGAAGACACGAGCAGATATTTTCACAAAGAAAATGGCCAGCGGACGCATGAAAAGATGCTTAACATCGCTAATCATCAGGGAAATTCAAATCAAAACCACAGTGCGATATCACCTCCCATTTGTCAGAATGCCTAAAATCAAAAGGATAAAAAACAACAAATGTTGGTGAGGATGTGGAGAAAAAGGGATCCTCATGCACTGTTGATGGCAATGCAAACTGGTGCAGCCACTCTGGAAAACAGTATGGAGGTTCCTCAAAACATTAGAAATAGAATTACCATATGGTTTAATAATTCCACTATTGGCTATTTACCTAAGGAAAATGAAAACCCTAATTTGAAAAGATACATGCACCTCTATGTTTACTGCAACATTATTTACAATAGCCAAGTTATGGAAGCAATGCCAAGTACCCATTGATAAATGGATGGGTAAAGAAAATGTGATACGTACACACACACACAGTGGAATATTACTCAGCCATAAAAAGAATGAAATCTTGGGGCGCCCGCGTGGCTCAGTCGGTTGGGCGTCCGACTTTGGCCCAGGTCATGATCTCACGGTTCGTGAGTGCGAGCCCCGCGTCGGGCTCTGTGCTGACAGCTCAGAGCCTGGAGCCTGCTTCCGATTCTGTGTCTCCCTCTCTCTGACCCTCCCCCATTTACGCTCTGTCTGTCTCTGTCTCAAAAATAAATAAACATTAAAAAAAATTAAAAAAAAGAATGAAATCTTGCCATTTGCAACAACATGGATGTAGCTAGAGGGTATAATGTTAACTGAAGCAAGTAAGTCAGAGAAAGACACAGCATAGCACATGATTTCACTCGTGTGGAATTTGAGAAACAAATGATCAAAGAAAAAAAGAGACAAACAAAAAACAGACTCAACTACAGAGAACAAACTGGTGGTATTCAGAGGGGAGAGGGGTGCAGGGGTGAGTGAAATAGGTGATGGAGATTAAGAGTACACTTGTAATGAGTACTGAGTAATGTATACAATTGTTAAATCACTGTTTTGCACACCTGAGACTCATATAACAATAAATGTTAGTTATACTGGAATTAAAAATAAAACAAGAAAGATTGCATGTGAAAACAAATGTAAAATACCTCAATTTGTTATATTGATTACAGGTTGAAATAATATTTTGGTCTATTTAATAATATACATTATTAAAATTAATGTCACTTCTTTTTGCTTTTTTTAAAAATGTGACTGCTAGAAAATTTAAAAATACATATACGGTTCACATTATATTTCTGTTGGACAACACTGGTCTGGAATCTGTATCTTCCAGCTTCAAGGTGAGCATCCCTACTCTGCTTCCCAGAGTCTATTCTAACAAATCATTCACTTACCACCTATTAAGTGTCAGTTGTTCAGGGGAGATCAAATTGCAGACTAATTGAGGAGAAAACTGAAAACAGTAAAGGATAACAAATGCTGGTGACTCCTATCTTATGTATTTCCTAGAATGGTGGTCCTTAACTCTACCAGCCCCAATGTTGCCTTTTAATAGCAAACTTTTTAAAAAAAAGTTTTTATTTATTTATGTTGAGAGGAAGGGAAAGAGAGAGAGTGTGTGTGGCAGGGACAGAGAGACAGAGGGGGAGAGAGCATCTCAAGCAGGCTGCTCACTGTCAGCACAGAGCCCGATGAGGGGTTCAAACCCATAAACAGAGATCATGACCTGAGCCGAAACCAAGAGTCCGTCCGACGCTAAACTGACTGAGCCGCCCAGGTGCTTCACCATAACGGAAGAAAGAAAAGGAAATCCTTTCCAATAATTGTTATTTCAGTATGCTAGAAAACATAGTCATATATTTGTACCTGTACATAGGATCACCTTGAATGTGACAGTACAAATGCAGACAGAACACCATGAGTGATGTTACTGTGATATAGTTCTCCAAAACTGTAACTTTTTAAAAACATTTTTTAATGTTTTATTTATTTTTGAAAGAGAGAGAGAGAGAGACAGAGTGTGGGTGGGGGAGGGGCAGAGAGAGGGAGACACAGAATCGGAAGCAGGCTCCAGGCTCTGAGCTGTCAGCACAGAGCCCAACACGGAGCTCAAACTGACCAGCCTGGAGCTCAGGACCTGAGCTGAAGTCAGATGCTTAAGGAACTGAACCACCCAGGCGCCCCTCCAAAATAGTAACGCTTAGGAAATTCCTGAATGAAACAAAGTACTAGCTTCTATTTACGTGATAGTTACATTGCTTGAAAATTCAGCACGTTACAACCCTGCAAAATCACTTTGTTTCTATATATAAAACACAGGCTCAAAGATTAATTATAACTTTTTTTTTTTTCACTTACATGAATCTTTAGAAGGACATTTGAAAGCTGTGTGGGACAGATGAGTCATGCATGACACTGTCCTACAACGTGCAGCATATCTAGCACTCTTTTTTTTTTTAATTTTTAAAGTTTTTATTTATTTTTGAGAAAGAGAGTGAGCAGGAGAGAGCTTGAGAGGAAGACCACAGAATCTAGAAGCGGGCCTCCAAGCTCTAGTGGCAGAGCCCTGTGGAGCTCGAACTCAGGCTGGATCATGGCCTGACCCCAGTTGGGAGCTCAATAGCCTGAGCCACCCAGGTGCCCCTGGGATACCTAGCATTCTTGGCTCCCCCCGCCAAACCATATGACAAGATTGTCCCCGTCCACCTGCAAATTGCCTATTAGGAATGCTCCATCCTGGTTGGGAACCCGCGGTGGTCCTTTGAAGGCCTTGCCTGCCCTCCGCCCTCCCCTGGCGCTGGCCTTCCCAGTTCTTCTCTACGGTACCAGCTTTCCTCTTTCAGCACCTGTGCGCTCTGCTCTTTGCCCAGAAAACTCTCCACTTTTTGTCTGGGTAACACACTGACTCTTTGGATCTCAGCGTTCCCGAACTAACTCCCAGTCTAATTTAATTCCTTTTGTCAGGCTTTTCCACTGGGCTCTACTTTCTGCAATGGTACCTGTGCCAGGTTGAGATTTCTAGCGAAGCGCCTATTTTCCGTACGACAGTGTGTGTTTCATGCCTGTCTCCCTCAACTCTCAGCTCCCTGAGGGCAGGGACCACGCCCACCTCTCCACCGCTGGTTCACTCCGTACTTACAACGACGGCCTGCAACTTAGTAGGCAGACAACAAACATTTCTGTCATAACGGGGAGAAGTCGAGGAGGAGGCAGGGGCGCGCCCATGGAGGAGGAGGAGGGCATTTTTTTCCCCCAAGGCAGGTAGCAGTGGAGGTTGAAGACGTGGGGCACCTTCCAGGCCACTCGTATCGGCGTCCGTGGAACGCACGCTAGCTCTTGGGGCGGGTGCCCGGCCGGGCGGACACGTCACCCGCACCGCGGCTGCGCACTGCGAGGAGTGGGGCGGGGAGACCACCGAGACGGCGGAGGCGGAGCGAGCGACCGGATGCGGTCACCATAGAGACCGGGACTGACGGCGAGCGGAAGAGGAAGGCGCGGGCCGGGCTGTGAGGTGGCAGCGGCTGCAGCGGCGGAGCCGGCGCCTCGGTTGGGCACTGGGGTTTGTTCCCCCTTCCCCGCCCTTCCCCCTGCGGGGGCCACAGGGGCGCCGCTTCCGAGGACAGGAGCAGGTCCCACTCCCGCGCCCTCGTCCCTGCTCCCCCCAGGACGGTCCTGGCCGCGTGGACCACACCTGGGCCGCCTTTACCGGTCCGCCGCCTCCCCCCCCGGCCCTGCTGCAGGGCCTCCCCCGGCGGGCCTCGGGGTGTGCCTGATCTCCTTCGTCCGCTGGCGCAGGCAGGGCCTTTGCCCCGCCGACGGGCCTGGTAACGGGGTCTTTGCCCTCCGGTCCCACCCGCGAACCTGCATTGCCTCCGCCGGAACAAACCCAGCCGAGTCCCCCAGCCCCTCCTCGACAGTTCCGTGACGCAGCCGGTTTTATTTCTGTTTGGAGACTAACAGCTAAAACTCGCTTTGGGCCTTCTTTCCAGGGCTGGAGCTGGTCTCTGATCGCTGAGAAGCAGATAGAGCAGGGGGTCTGGTCCTTGGCAGAGGTCACTTCCCAAGCCAGCCGAGCCTCCGTTTGCTTTTGCAGCAGCCGTGTGTTGTCTCTAGCTTCTCGTCTCCCCACTTTGGTTTGGCTTGGGGCCCTGGGGCCCTGGTAAAACCAGACACCGAATTGCTCTTACACAGCCAGAGTCACCGTCATTTGCTCGTCGTCTCTTCACAGAGGAAGGTGGGCAGCACCAGCCTCTCAGCAGCTGGGATTCAGAGAAGGATGCCCTGCAAAATGGCTCCATCAGCCATTGTGCTCCTCTGAGAGGCTCTCCGTGCTGATTCACCGTATCTGTCCACCTCACTTGGATGGGCAGAACTGTGCACCATGCCAGTGGCTCCTGACCACTCCCAACTGGGAGGAGGGGTTACTCTAGCTGTGTGTTTCCGTAACACTCAGGAGTAGGGTAGGGAGAGGCCCTTAACCCTTCCCTTGGGCTCGCCTTCAATAGCTAGTCGGCACCCCCTTTGGTACATTGAGTGAGCAACGTGCCCCCAGCTAGGGGCCCTTTGACAAAGGCCTACCGACGCAGGCTGTTGGAGTTGGGGCTGTTATTTTGATGGAGCATGCCCTTGGCCCCAGCCCCTTCTTTACTCGCTTCTGCTGTCTCCACTTAGATCCAGTCTACAGATGCGTGTAGTCCTTCTTTCTGGGTTAGATTTGGCAGGATTGAGTTTTGTTTCCTCGTCATTCTGGAAGACAGACCATAAGCACATTAGTGGGTGAAATCGACTCTAATACTTACTGCACGAAGGGTTAAATCCGGCACCTTGAGGACTGAAGCCCAGGCATATGCTTCCTGGGGATGCTGGGCCTGGCAGCAGGCCTGGCAACCTTGCTGTGTCGTTGACCTCATTGACCTCAGGCTTCCTGGATAAAACCATAGGCCTACTACTGGCCCGACACCCATCAACCTACTGATTGATCCTTGAGGCCATCCCCTCCGGGGCATGCACGTGGCAGGGCCTGCCACCATGCGCCTGAGTTCCCTGTTGGCTCTGCTGCGACCAGCGCTGCCCCTCATCCTCGGGCTGTCTCTGGGGTGCAGCCTGAGCCTCTTGCGGGTTTCCTGGATCCAGGGTGAGGGAGAAGATCCCTGTGTAGAGGCCGTGGGGGAACCAGGAGTGCCGCATAATCCAGACTCCAGAACTGGACTCGACCAAAGTGATGAAGACTTCAAACCCCGGATTGTCCCTTACTACAGGGATCCCAACAAGCCCTACAAGAAGGTGCTCAGGTGAGAGCTATGTGTGTACGTAGCCCCCAGACCCCACTTGAGCGCTGCTCTAAGTCCTTGTCTCTGCCTTCGCTGGTAATCACTGTTAGGCTCCCAGAGCAATTGTTTGCCTTATTACCCGTCATGATTTGTTTCTATTTTTCCCTTCTCAGGTCTAAGAAGGTCTCACTCATTGGTGTTAAGTTAGTGTTGGATGTTTTTTAAACGGGGCAGGAATCACGTCTAGCCATCTAGTCCATCCTCAGACCCGTCCCCAAATGAACTCGTCAGCGGACGCTCACTGTAGTAGCTCATTAATGTTAGCGAGGAGGTGTCTCTCTCCTCTTATCTCACCCCCAACCCACTCATTACTAGAGGGATGTGTATGCTGGGCAGACTGGGCTCCTAAAGATATAAGGAGTTGACCCCTGGCATGCTGGTCCCTCCGCAGGACTCGGTACATCCAGACGGAGCTGGGCTCTCGGGAGCGGTTGCTGGTGGCTGTCCTGACTTCCCGGGCCACCCTGTCCACTCTGGCCGTGGCCGTCAACCGCACGGTGGCCCACCACTTCCCTCGATTATTGTACTTCACGGGGCAGCGGGGGGCCCGGACGCCTGCGGGCATGCAGGTGGTATCTCACGGGGACGAACGGCCGGCCTGGCTCATGTCAGAGACCCTGCGCCACCTTCACACACACTTTGGGGCCGACTACGACTGGTTCTTCATCATGCAGGATGACACGTATGTCCAGGCCCCCCGCCTGGCAGCCCTTGCTGGCCACCTCAGCATCAACCAAGACCTGTACTTGGGCCGAGCGGAGGAGTTTATCGGCGCCGGCGAGCAGGCTCGGTACTGCCATGGGGGCTTTGGCTACCTGTTGTCACGGAGTCTCCTGCTCCGATTGCGGCCACATCTGGATGGCTGCCGAGGAGACATTCTCAGTGCCCGTCCCGATGAGTGGCTCGGCCGCTGCCTCATCGACTCTCTAGGCATCGGCTGTGTCTCGCAGCACCAGGTGACAGCCCTTTCGAGTTAATCTTGGCCCCTGACAGTTGGTAGTGGCTGAGCGATTGGTCTCCGGGGTGGCTGCGATTGGTCTCCGGGGTGGCTGCGGCTGGCTCCTTCCCAGTAGCACCTTGGGGTTTTGTCCTTCCTAGCCGCCGACCCTGGCTAGAGCCCCGGGGCCATCAAAGGTGGCATCTTGCCGGGGACCCTCCGAGCAAGGTAGAAAGGTGCCCCTGCTCACCAGCTCCTCCCATCGCCACCCCCCCCCCGCCCTTTGCCCCCTCCTCTGACACATGCACAGTCGTAAACGATCTGGGAATGTCCTAGAGATGGCCACTGTCACAGGGAGTACAGTAAACCAGAGTAGTGGGAGTCCTTGCTGGCTCATGCCTTTCGTTCCCTGGAAGCAGTGGGGTCCTTCTTTAATTGCCTACCTAACATTCTTTTTTCCCGAATCCAGTAGCAAGACTAAGGCCAAGTTTCAGGGAACACCGGAATGAGCTCCTGCTCTCCGTCATGATGGCGGCGGTAAAAAGCATGAATGCTGAGTTCGGTTAAGCGTGGTTGGGACGGGCAGCCCTCCGTGTGTGGCACTGATTGGTCTGATTGGTCCCTTTAGGGGCAGCAGTATCGTTCCTTTGAGCTGGCCAAAAATAGGGACCCTGAGAAGGAGGGGAGCTCGGCTTTCCTGAGTGCCTTCGCAGTGCACCCTGTCTCCGAGGGAACCCTCATGTACAGGCTCCATAAACGCTTCAGCGCTCTGGAGCTGGAGCGGGCGTACAGCGAAATAGAGCAACTGCAGGTGAGCCCGGGCCCACGGCTGGAGGTCAGGGGGGGCTTCAGGCGTCCGGGGTCACAGTGAGCAGGCAGCTGAGTGAGAGAGGAGGCTGGCGGGGTGGAAGCGTGAAACAACTCCAAGGAGAAGGGACCCTCGGGGACCCAGGTCACTTGTGAGATAAGCCCCTGGTTCGACTTGGATGTGGTTAAAAGTGTTTGCAGGCGAACTATGAGGAGCAGGGCTCAGTATAGCACTTAGACACGATCACTTCAGCTTCTCTCCAGTTGTGCCTCTCCACCGGAGGAGCAGAAGCCCAGGAAGCCCTAAATCTCTAGCACTGTCCTTCAAAAGCCCAAGGGTAGATGTGGAAGAACCCTCCAGTTGGTCGTGGGGAGTGGGGGGTGTCAGAGGTGGCGTACAGGTGAAAGCCAAGGTTCCATTATGAAGAGGACGTACTCTGGGCCTGGAGAGAAAGGCTGCGAGCTTTAATCTCTGCGAAAGCACATTTCCCACCGCTTCCTTCTCACAGCAGTTGTGTAAGGTGCGTTATGATCCCTATGCTTTCTGCGTTTCACAGGCAAGAAACGAGGAAATTCACGGAAAGAACGAGGAATTGAGCGGTTAGCCAAGGGGGCACCTCACTGAGTGTTGACAGAGTCAGGACAGAGCTCCGAAGCCAGGACGCTGGAGCCTGGTCGGGTCCTGACAACCTAGAGGGCACTAACTGTGCATCCCTCCCACCCTAGGCTCAGATCCAGAACCTGACAGTGCTGACCCCCGAGGGCGAGGCAGGGCTGAGCTGGCCCATCGGGCTCCCGGCCCCTTTCACCCCACACTCTCGATTTGAGGTGCTGGGCTGGGACTACTTCACGGAGCAGCATACCTTCTCCTGCGCAGATGGGTCCCCCAAGTGCCCGCTGCAGGGGGCGAGCAGGGCGGACGTGGGTGACGCCGTGGAGACGGCCCTGGAGCAGCTGAATCGGCGCTATCAGCCCCGCCTGCGCTTCCAGAAGCAGCGGCTGCTCAACGGGTACCGGCGCTTCGACCCGGCGCGGGGCATGGAGTACACCCTGGACCTGCTGCTGGAGGCCGTGACGCAGCGCGGGCACCGGCGGGCCCTGGCCCGCAGGGTCAGCCTGCTGCGGCCCCTGAGCCGGGTGGAAATCCTGCCCATGCCCTACGTCACCGAGGCCACCCGCGTGCAGCTGGTGCTGCCACTCCCGGTGGCCGAAGCCGCTGCCGCCCTCGCTTTCCTCGAGGCCTTTGCAGCCAGTGTTCTGGAGCCGCGAGAGCACGCGCTGCTCACCCTGTTGCTGGTCTACGGACCTCGGGACGGTGGCCGGGGGGCCCCGGACCCATTTCTCGGGGTGAAGGCCGCGGCGGCCGAGTTAGAGCGGCGGCACCCCGGGACGAGGCTGGCCTGGCTCGCCGTGCGCGCGGAGGCCCCTTCCCAGGTGCGGCTCATGGACGTGGTCTCTAAGAAGCACCCCGTGGACACGCTTTTCTTCCTCACCACCGTGTGGACCAGGCCGGGGCCCGAAGTCCTCAACCGCTGCCGCATGAATGCTATCTCCGGCTGGCAGGCCTTCTTCCCAGTGCATTTCCAGGAGTTCAACCCTGCCCTGGCACCACAGAGATCTCCCGCGGGGCCCCCGGGGGCTGGCCCCGACCCCCCGTCCCCTCCTGGTGCCGACCCTTCCCGGGGGGCTCCCGTAGGAGGCAGGTTTGACCGGCAGGCTTCCGCGGAGGGTTGCTTCTACAACGCCGACTACCTGGCGGCCCGAGCCCGCCTGGCCGGGGAACTGGCAGGCCAGGAAGAGGAGGAAGCCCTGGAGGGGCTGGAGGTGATGGATGTTTTCCTCCGGTTCTCAGGGCTCCACCTCTTCCGGGCCGTGGAGCCAGGGCTGGTGCAGAAGTTCTCCCTGCGAGACTGCAGCCCCCGGCTCAGCGAGGAGCTCTATCACCGCTGCCGCCTCAGCAACCTGGAGGGGCTGGGGGGCCGCGCCCAGCTCGCCATGGCTCTGTTCGAGCAGGAGCAGGCCAACAGCACCTAGCGCGGCGGCCCCTCTGTGGAGTTCCCCTCTCTGCCGCAGCCCCGGGAAGGGCAAGGCAAGATGGACGGACAGATGGAGAGCTTGTTGCTGTATTTTTTTTTTTTAATAAGAAAATGTTATTAAAAGTGTCTTCTGCCAAACTGTTTTTAGGTCTAGGGGAAATGGAGTCAGGAGGAGAATCTGAGGGAGGGGGTAGGGAGGCTTCCCAGAGGGACCCGCCGCCTTCCCCCTTGTCCTTCCTCCCCGGTTGCCAATGACACACGAGGCTGCTCTCAGATGCATGAGCTTTAATCATTCCCCTGCCTCACCCGGAAGGCCTCAGAGGGGCGATGGCAGAGCCCGGGGGCGGGGCAGGCCCGGCCCAGAGGCCCTCTGCGGTGCTCCTGGTGCTCCTCCGCAGGGGCTCCTAGGTGGTGCGCACGACCAGCGACTGCTCCAGCTCCTGCCGGCGCTGCTGGATCTTTAGAGAAATAAGAGTACTGGCAGGTTACGCTGTTGCTGGTGAGTGACAGGACAGTCCCAGCCACCCAGCCACCCTGGAAGAGCCTTTGGGAGCAGGGAGGGCTCCTCTGTGGTGAGGGGGTTGGTAGAAGTGGCTGAGAAGCGGGACTTCTCTTGCAGAGAGAGGGGGAGGCCTGAGGGACACGGGCCCCTCCACACCTTGCAGTAGAAATAGCGGCTGACGGCTTCCTGGGACCAGGGCTGGTGGTAAAACTCAGCCCGGCGCTCCTCCTCAGGGTTGCCTGCCACGTCCGTCATCACCTGGGAGGAAGCGACGGGGTCAGCCCTGAGCCCGGACCCCCTCCAGCCCGCGTGTGACAACATTTATTGTCTTCCCGATATGCTTGTCTTCCATCCAGTGCTCCCTGAGTCCCCTTCACCTTGAGGTCCCGGCTCTGGGAGCGGAGCAGGTCTTGGATGTAGCCTTTGGGGTCTCTGGAGAAGCTTAGCATGAAGTCCCTCTGGATCTTGAGCTGGTTTATGGACTCAATCGTCTCATGGATCTGCAGGTAGAAAGACAGACGCTTTCACCTGGCCATGGGGATGTGGGGGAGGCGGGAAGGGGGGGGTTTGCTGCGTCCCTTTGAAGGACAATCCCTCAGGTCCCTGACGCCTCTGCAGCCCCAGAGAATGGGGGATGGACAGAGCTCCGAGTAGCGAGGGGAGGGCCACGTGCCCCCCCCCCCCCCCCCCCCCATCTCTCCGTGGGTCTATGCTCTCGTCTGTTGTCTGTATTTTGTCATTTCCGGGTTAATGTCCCACTCCAGCTCTGGGCTCGGGCCCCACCTTACTGTCCAGAGCGCTGATCTCCTGCTGGTTGGCCGTGGACAGAAGGAAGCTGCTCATCTGTCCCTTCAGGGGCTCCTCCACCTCCACATCAATGTCATAGCACGCCGTCTTCTTCTGGTCCGACGGGTCCACGCTGCCAGGGAAGTCCAGGCCTTGGTGTCCGTGCTGCTGCCACAGAGGCCAGGGGCCCCAGGGGCAGACTGGTGGGGGGTGGGGGTGGGGAGAGGGAGGGCAGGATGGCAATGACTCCCTGGGCTGAGGAGCAAGCTGGGGCCTCACCTGATGACGTGGTTGATGACAATTGGGTCAGGGGGCAACAGCAGAGCTGTGAGGCGCTGGGGAATCTCAGAAAACTTCAGCCGGGGGCAATCAAAAATCTGAAGTAGGAGAGAGAGGGAGAGAGAGAGAGAGACACCACTCTCGTCTGCTTGAAAAGAGCAGAACTACAGTCCTAGAGCCTTCCATTCTGGGAAGGCGACGCCATGAGCCAGTCTAACTCCTCTCCTGGGGCCGGGACTAAGGTGTCTGGGGGTGGAGTGCAGACACAGAGGTGGGTGGGGGCCGTGCAGTGGTTGGAAGCATGGGCCCTGGGCCGGGGGCCGTGGTGCAAATCCTGCCTCTTCCCATTAACAGTGCAACCTTGAGCCCGTCCCCTAAATTCGGGGGCCTCGGTGTCTTCATCTCTAAAGTGGGTATGGTCATGGTACCTGTCTGCCAGGGTGGCTGTGAGGACCAAATGTGATCCACGTTAAGTGCCCGCGAGCATGCCTGGCACATGGCGAGTGCTCAATAAACACCAACTGTTACTTTGCTCCTCGAGTTGATCTGCTGTGTTTATTCAAAAAGTATTATTAACAATAATCTCTACTTTGGTAGAGCCTGGATCCGGGACTAGAGCCCAGGGCCCCAAACTCCAAGTGCCAAGACTATCATGTTCCCCAAACTGTTGGCCTCTTAACGTTCCTGGCTTGGTTAAATCTAGAAGTGTGTGCGGGCGTTGCCTTAGTAAAGGCACTTCCCCTACTGGTGCCTCTGCCTGCTCCCCACACCCCTGCGGTCAGGAGAGAGGGTACCTGCTGGAAATATTTGTCCCCATTGATGTATTCCTTGTCATGTGAGTCCTGCAGCCTGTTGGTTTTCACATACTGCCACAGGGCCTGCACGATGGCGGAGCGGCTCTGTGTGTGCAACCCCAGCAGCCGGGCCAAGCGGGGATCCAGTTTGAATTGGGGAGGCTGGGAAAAGATGGCCATGAAAATTAAATGAGAGAGAGGGAGTGGAAAGAGCTCAAGGCCAGGCAGCCTGGGGCCGGCGGGGACGTGGCGATTGGGCCCTAGGAAGGATGTTTCTGGAGAAGGTGAGGCAAGGAAGAGAACGGGGTCTCCCAGGGAACGCTCTGAAGACAAAGGGCGTGGGGGGCCCGAGGGCCTCATGGCAGGGGGGTAGGGGTGGGGGCAGAGACCTGGTAGTCCAGCATGAGAAGCAGC